ATCGCAATCTGCATTACGAATATTGAAGACTTTCGTCTAAGAGTTTACAACCATTTTAACAACTGTTGGAAATATCACCTTTACCTGTTATAATTACAATTACAACCTTAAAGAAGGACTTTTAAGTAGGAGTAAGGTCTTGTAGTCCCTCCTCAAAGGCTGGCTACGCACTTGTGGCTTTTAAGTTGCAGCTGATGTCCGTGGCGCTAGTTATCTACCCGTGTCGGTTTGTATGTCTTATAAAAAAAATACAAACTGCATAAATCTTTTGATTAATAATAAATCAATAATGTATAATATATTAAAAGTAGGTAATAAAATTTATTAAATATATACATACACATGTTTGAAAAAAAAAACAAAAAAATCTAACAGATCAAGAAAATCAAAAAAATTATTGGTCATTACTAATTAACGTACTTAAAAATATAACGTATGAAAATAAATAAATAGTCTATACCACAGTGAATACCTTAATCACGATTAAAAAGGTAGGTACTCTGTCGATCACTTCCAGGTTCGATCAATTTGCACTATTGTACAAGTCGTGGTCACGGATTGACTTTACTACCACGTATTTAATGTTCTCTTTGAATAAATTCAATTCGACATAAGCTTTACAAGATGACTATAATCCTTATTACACATCCGTCTTTAAATTACTATTTGGAAAGTAAATACTTCTCTCGTTTTGCATATAATTGCAGGGCAAAAGTTGCGATGTAAATTATTAACTTAAACGAACAGGGATAATAATTCTAGTCAACTTTCTTCGTCTAGAAATTTGACGGAGAACTTAAGGATTGGTTCCGACAATTAAAATATTGCGAGGATTTGGCAAATGGCACTTGACCCAAAAACTTTAATTACTACACCTGCGAAGCGAAAGTCTATTGCATAGTGGTCATCAGTTGTGAATGTTGTGATGAATATTCAGTGATTTTGAAGGTCTTTATTACTGTTAATACACACAATTAGTGGCTTAAGTTTAAAATGTTAGCGCCAGTTAAAGAAAATTACAAGAAATTTATTAAAATCGTTGCGCTCGATTACTTACGGCCCTTAACTTATAGTATTATAATTTGAACCTAATCCTTTTTTCTTTTCTAATATCTTTATTAAGTAAGCAATAAAGATGGTTTCTACTTTTATTTTATCTCAAATTGTGTTTACATTGAATTTAAATTAGTCATAGTAGTTTGTTAGGCTTTGGTTACGTAAGTGATTAAAATTATAATCAATAAATGTTCATCATCATTTTTCTGTCTTTTATCAATTTTACTTGAGGTCGGCGAACTGTGAAACGTTTAGAAAACTTAAAATATTTAGTATATTTTTATACCGTTATAGATACAGACATGGGTACGTACGAACTTCAGTACACCAGTACAGTATGAACTTGTACTCCCTCCCTTTTACCGTGGGCAGGGTCGACCGGACTGATACCACGGCCTCACAGAAAACCTGTGTTAAGCAATTCTTTCGTTGCCTTACACTGAGTGAGTGAGGTTACCGGAGCTCCGATCCCCTCTCCTGCTGACTCGGGCGCACTCGAGGGCGGCAACGCACTTGTGACTTTTGAGTTGCAGGTGTCCATGAGCGGAGGTATAGTTGCTTACCATCAGGTGACCCGTCTGCTTGTTTGCCCCCTTATACAAAAAAAAAACGAATGCAAAACGACTCATAAAATTTAAATAAAATAGTGAATGTGTCCTTAAGAAGCAAATTAATTTGTAAATAATCTTAAAGTAAATAAAAATAATTAGAGTGTCTGTCTTAAAAGACAGTCTATTAATTTTCGTTCTGCCTTCGTTCGTACTGTACTGGAGTTCGTACGTACTCATGTCTGTGTTATACCTTATATTGTAAATGAAGCGGCGCATATCAAACGCCAGGAAGTGCTAGTGTTTGCCACATAACGTCAATATGTGTTCTGAACATTTGGCCAAGCTATTAATTCTTTGTTTGTTCACGTGCTTTTTGACTTCACATACGATCAAGACACGCGTTTATTGCGCACGTACCTACATTTTTAGAGTAAACATAACACAAATTCTGCCTTGAACTTTATTACATAAAAAAATTAAAGATTTACATGTGTACGTGTATATTAAAATGTCATGAAATCGTTTACGATGTAAGTTATTACTCTGTTAGGGCAATAGTTAGTATATAGAAGATTTAATCGTTTTTCTGGTCAATCCACGGCCTTAAAAAAATGCCGGCATTATAGTCCTTTCGCTTATTCACATCAAGATCCTTCTCAATGGTCCTAAACAAGATAAAGCACACATTGTAGGAGTATTACGGATAAATGGATAAAAAACCCCAATATCAAACGATATTGGGGTTTTTTATCCATTTGCGTAATACTCCTACACTTATTATTCCATATCGATTACTATAACCATAATTTTGTTATTCGATATTGTAATCACTTCTGTGTGTAGGCTCCGGTCCGGTACGTTTACTAGGATTACACGAATATCACTACAAGTTATGTATATCACGTTATTTGTGAAGCGAGCACGTGATCATGTCTTACAGTGTTTGAGTAAGATGAGCTGTTGCGGTTGCATCTGGGTATGTAGTTGAAGTATCTGCGATACATATTCTGAAATATTGTTCACTATTGGGTACTAACCATTTAATGTGTTATTATGGTTGTGCCTTCCTCTTACACAGACCTTTCCTTTACTTTTGGTATAGACTATATTTATTTGTGTTACTGCTTTTGATCGTAAAAGTCCATGCAGAGAATGTAGTTGGGATTAGTCCCCGATGGCAAAAATTAATGGAAAAGGAGAAGCAAAAGTTCTGACCTGATAGGTTTACCTATTCGTATAGAGTTTAGCTGTGTCCATGTTTTCCGAAATAAAAAAACTTTACCCGTTAGCCTAGAAACGCCCCGAGGAAATCGGTCCACGCGAATGATCTGCAAACGTTTAGATGCGTTTGGTAAAAAACCTGTAATTACAAACAGATATATTTTAATTAAAAATATATTTGTAAGATATAAAACAATATGACTCCAAGCCGCCTACCTACTTCCGTTGGTCACAAGGTTGACAGTTATCAAGCCTTACAAAGATTATCTGTATTGGATGTGTTGCAAATTTTCGTTATCGATATCAGTTACCGGTACTCATCACACAATTTTTACATAACTTACGTGCAATCAACTATGATTTCCTAAAATATTATATATAGTGTAAATATGACATTGACTTATATACGCGACTAGTAGGCAAGCAGTAGGTATTGTACACGAAGTGAGAAATCTTTTATCTACTAAGGCTTAGATAAAATGATCTTTTTCAGAATAAGAGTCCGAATGGTTCAGCTTCATCGACAGCCTTTAATAGTCCACTGCTGGCGTATAGGTAAGGAGAGCCTTAGAAATGAGGTTCTAGCCTACCATATCACGCTGGCCAGACGGGTTGGTATAGGGTTTGTTTTAAGTTTTCGTTCCCTTTGCTGTGCTGTTGTCCTCCGTAGTTTGCTTCCTTAGTCTGCACTTACGACGGATGAATAGGGGTAGTGACACTCCGTCTTCTTAATCCGTCACCACACGGACAGTTCCAGAATCTGAATAGTCATTAGAATAAAAATTGTCGTGAGCTGTGTTAATGTTCGGCGTGGGAATTCTCTGGCTCGATAACATGTTTGCGGCCATAGTACGGAGCGAGATCACGTGGAACTGCGCCGTCTTCTTCTGCGAGCAAGTTGTGTTCGCGAAGGAGAAGGCGGAGAGGGACCGAGAGAAATTTAAAACTATCCCGGTTCACCAGCCCCGGGAACAGGCCAAGTGATGCGCCAGGTACTGCAGACGATTCTCGTCGAGACGAGGCGCCGGAGGTAGCAAAGAGATCACGGTCCTCCATAAGCGCAGCGCATATTAATGTTCATTAGATATACAGATTTATTCCCTTGTGTATTTTATTTTTTACCACAGTTAGGAATATCATTAGCTAGAAAAATTATAATGGTCAGATTGATATACAACATCAAGCCAATTATTACAGGTTTTCACGAATTGAAACATTGTAAATTAACCGAGGTTGTGGAACACTAATGGAAAACTGGAACACTGAATACACGATAAGTTTACAGCGTCTTAAAAAAAGTATCTTTAGTTTTTCAGGTTTTAAGAGTTCGATTCATTACAATCAGGCATTTTTTTAGCAAGTCCCTATTATAAAAAGTATGTAAAAGAGTTCTACGAGTATGTAATTTATTATTTATTTGTATATAACTTACCTAGAAAAAAAAACTATTCGCTTGTTCGAAAATAAGGTTTTTACCTGCACCATGGTATGAAGACACTTCCCTCAAACAAGACTTTTCGTTTGCATTGTCAAGAGATGAAACAGTCATCTTTAAGCGTAAATATTATTATCGTCTCACTATTTTATCTTTTTTATACAATAAAAAAATGTTTACAAAAGTATCTGTATTTCCCTATTAAATGAATTCTTTTATTTAAATTATGTTATCTTGTAGTTATAAAATTATCTTACAAATATTCTTGAATACTTCCTGCCTTCGACAATAGGTACATGCGCACCGCTTCACAAACGATATGAAATCGAATACTCAATAGTATCTTATATTACGAACCACACAAGAGTACATTATTCACCTTGAACCATTTATCGGCGGTAACGAGTAGCCAGTATAATTTATCTAATCATAATAATCATGGTATTGCTTATTGACTAATTATTGCACTACATTTTCAACCTACATAATGGCGAATTTTTTGTTTTATATGCTCCTTAGTAATTGGTGTTAATTTCTATGTATCGACTTAGACATACTAAGAAAAACATACTAAAGTATGTATACGTTAGATGGCATTAAGTTACAACTACGGAGTAACTACTAATCCTACATCACGCAATTAAAGTTCTTGCGCCGATTTGTATATAAATACTTTTTTTTTTTTAAATATAGTGTATGGTGTAGTAGAGATATAATGACTTTATATTTTCTTCCAGGGATGCCTTGTACCGCCTTTCACTTCGCGGCCTCGGCGTACTAGAACGAGCAGCCTGGGTGGCCTCATCGGAGAAGATCAAGTTGTGCCAAGTAAAGGGTCAGACGGAGGAAGACTGCCATAACTTTGTTAAAGTTCTATTGGCATATGAACATAAGCTATTCGCTTGTGGGACTCACGCGTTCAGTCCTGTCTGCAGTTGGAGAGAGGTAGATTTCTTGTACTTTATAATATTAATAGAAAAGTTTGAAAATATTCTTTGAAAAGATTCGATGGATAAGTAATAGTCACTTACTTTTAAGAGTTCCATACGAGTAAGTCGAAAATGAAACCCTTGTAAGATTTGTACGTCCGTTTGCCCATCTACAACAGCTAATTTGCTTCAAATTTACTAGACCGATTAAGTTTAACTTTGCTACACATATTAATTCTTGTAACGCAAACACACATTATGTGTAACATCAATAAATGAATTTTGAATGTTGGCGACATTTTGTACCGTGTGTCATATTATAAAAGGGCTTATTATGAGGTTCTCAATTTATTTTTGTATAATTTTAATAATAATTGTTTTAATGTTATTAAAGAAAACACATGTAAATTGACCCCCCCGCTAAATCTTCGAAGCCTAATAGTCCTGACATATATAAAAACAGAAAAAAGTTCATTACTTTTAAATTAAAAGAAAACGTATAGCTATGAAGTCCGCGGTCATAAAATCATAATATCACTGTGGTAAACCTTGCAATATTGTGAGTACAAACTTACATTTAAAAATACAATCTTATGTAATTTAAGGTTTACAGTCAAAGAGCACTAGCTTTACATTATACTACAAAACGAAATTAGTAAATACTAAGCTGTTTGTTAAGAGACTCAACTCAACAAAAAGTATCTAACATCGACACCTAAGTACCTACTTATATGTGAATAATAATTTTACACTAAACTTTCTATCTCAAAAATTTACATGTACCATTAATTGAAATAACGTATCATTAACTATTAGTATACCTATTAAAAATAAGTATGATTTGCAACCTAACTGCTACTCATTAAGATTAAAAAGCTTTATTCACATTTACTATAAACTGTACGGTAGATACCTATGCGATGAATCTTCACTAATTGATACAATAAAATTGGTAATAATACACTAACCTGATAATATCTTCGACACAGTTCGCTTATATTACTTGAATTGAGTGTTGGGTTACGATATTATTATAGCTGATGCATAAAAGTTAACACCACTAAGTACTTCTTTCACATACCACTTCGCCGGTAGTTGACGCCCGCAAAAATTTTCTTATTTAATTTTATCTTCAGCTAATATTCCTTGTATAATTGATTTTCTTCAACAATAAAGCTGATTGTCGATTACCCGGTACGGTAGGACCATATAGGAAATCAGGACTACTCGAAATTATTCTGTGAGCTTTTATAATGAACTTACAAAATGACAAAAAATATATGATATAGAATATACAGATTATTCAATTATGCAAACGAGCTTACGCTATGAGCATTAACACATTGCTAACGCATTTGACGTAGGCTCTCCAACACCATTGTAAAAAAAAGTTTATCATATTTCGTAATTTATATTTAAAGTATGTTAAGTATTCTATATCGAGTAAGGAAACTGTAAAAGTAAACTACAGAGTGTTCTAATGATAACATAGTAACGAGATATCAATAGAAAACCATATTTGATGAGTGATTCAGGCGATAGTCTTAATTGTTTTATGATGGAACCAAAACAACCTCAAGGTTTATAACTGTATACTATATACACCTATTGAACTAACCCTATGACTGGCTACATTGTACTACTTGGGAAATATTTAATAATGAGTGCTCTATCATAACAATATTGTAGACGATTGATCAGTTTACTTATTATAAACTAGCTAACAAGCGTGGACTCATCTCTCAAAAGGAATTCCCTGTTTTTGAAATTCTTTTCATTGATCTCTCGGCTCTTATTGGTCGTAGCATAATGTTATGTAGCCAATAGCCTTCCTCGATATATGAGCTAACCAACACTCAAAGAATTTTTCAATTCGTACCAGTCGTTCTTGAGACTAGCGCGTTTAACCTAACTCTTCAGCCTTATAAGATAGAAAATTAATTTAAAATTCTATATTTAAATTTATTGACCAATTGGTGGCTCTGTCCTAGTGACTTCTTTAATCACATGATGGATACACGGGTATGCGATCCTGGCCTCTTCAAGCCACGGTAGTCTCAGTCCCGTCAAATTGTGGCTTGTGTTATCCTTTCCTCTAGCTCCATCGCCCTATCTGTTTTTTTTTACCTTAATTTACAGTGTCTCTCGTCTAAAACGATTCGAAGTCGTCAGGTACGCTAATGTTACTCATTGACCCCAAAAGAATGAGAAGGGTAGGAAGATGATGATGGCGATGATGATGAAAGTCGTTATTTATACATATAACTAACTTTCATTTACACTCAGCAAAAATATTACTGCCTTTTTTCTGTAATTACCATGCAACAGATAATGTATATCTGTGCATTTAAATATGTGTGCATTTATGTATATGTGTGCATTTAAAATATTAGTAAACATTACGAACATCACGATCTATTCTTGGTAAGACTAATGCATTTTAATTTATGTAATGAACCACACATCACATCAGCATAATTTTATTCGTCATCGTTGCCGTTCATCAGCTGTATTGTACCACTGGTTTTACTTTTTGAAAAACAGTTAAGTCTGTAGTAATATAATTAAGCTGAAGATATTTTTGAATGTTTAAACGCACTATCGCTGTAACTAACAATCGAATTTAAATTATTATTATTTATAGTACTGGCTTTAGCTCGCGGCTCTGCCCGCGTGAACGTCGGTTATCGCGGTAAAAAGTAGCGTATATTACTCGCTGATAATGAAGCTTTCTATTGCTGTAAGATTTTTAAAAATCGGTTTAGTGGTTTAAGCGTGAAAGCAACAAAAACAAACTAACTCACTTTCACATTTATAACATAAGTATGGATTGAATCAAGTATTTAATAAGGTTTAATATAGGCTAATAAACGTTACCTTAGAACGGATTGTGTGTAATGAACTTCTATCATATTTAATGTGTCTGACTAGTATTGAGAATTACTTGATGCATACACAACTTGTATAATTACATTTTGTTAGAGTTAGGTAATTTCTTTAAAGCGCTTTTCTTCTAATTCGGTAAATAGTATATACTACTAAGTAAAACTTAGATCTTAATATTAGTTAAAACCTACTTGACTGTAAATTTTTTTTGACAGACTCATTTTGATTAACGTGAGCTACCAATTCCAAGTGATACTCCACTTTTCAGCTGTATGTTTCTTTACAATGCACACTTAGGGATTAAGTATACCATAACGATGAACATTTTTTTCCACAGATCGAGTCAATAAACACAGTGTCAGAATGGATGACTGGTGTAGCCAACTGTCCGTACAATCCTCACTCGAATGTGACTGCTATTTTGACCAGCAACGGAGAATACTACGCTGGAACGCCAACAGATTTTGCCAGCTCCGATACGGCTATATGCAGGTAAAATTTCTATTGTGTACATTTTGAATGAGGAATGGGGTAGCCTGTTTAAATAATATATTTATTTATTTTTAGTTGTTATTATAACATAAATTACTATGTTTTCAGTAGGTTGCAGAGCTAAATTAGTCTGTTTATAATAACAAAATATAGGTCAGTCAATATAATTATCAAGTACTCAGTCAACCTTGCGTATCAGTGGCATGCGTAAAGTATGTACATTTTCGTAATCTCAGTGGCAGTAGATTAGATGATTCGGTACAATTTGATTAGATTTATATGTAGTAGAAACATATTTAGGTACTCGTAAATCTATTATTGCAATTGTTCTATGATAAAATATACATGTTATTTCATCAGGTCCTTTTAATACGATTTTGAATTAGGTATAAATTAATCTTGTATAGTAGCAAAGTAATGATTCGATGTGTTTGGTTTCGGACTCTTTTGCCAACATATTTTTAAAGTTTTACAACTTTATAACAAGAATGTTTATTTATTTCTATCACAACCACTTCAGCATCCCAGCCATGGGTCGTTAAAAGTTCAATTTAAAGCAGTCTCGCGAGACGTCTCCTAAATGTATTCAATATCATGTCTGCCAATAAAAGTTTTGCACTCTAATTTAGCCAGTTCATCATGTATTGTTCCGCCACACCGATTTCCCAGTACATTTTTACAACCGGTTAATTCTAATTAAAATTAGAATTCAACATCAATCATTCGCCGTCCGTCTGCAACTCAGGAGTCACAAACGCGTTACGTCTCGTTATGCGTACGTCGGTAGTGCGCTGAGTGGGGTTCGCACCCATAATCACCTGATAGCAAATCTGACACCCTTAGTCGCAAAATTACTGATTTTCTTAATTGAATTCTTAACGATTCAACAGGGCACCTAATCATAGAGTTAAGCTACCTGTCGTTGTTTCCTAAATATTTAACGTACCGAATAATCAATCCCTTAGGAAATCTATTTGAACAGAAACTTAAAATTCTACTAAGTCTAATACCCTTCGCTTATGACAATAGTAAAAAAGGTCCCCGGGTAGATCAGAACCCAAACAGTTTTATGTGGATTGTTATCTAAAAATAATCTATTGATTACATTTGTTTCTGTTCCCAGAAGTCGAGGTGCCGCTCGACGGGACTCTGGCACTCTTCGGACGCCCCAGTACGACTTAAATTGGTTGAACGAACCCCAGTTCGTGGGTAGCTTCGAAGATGATCACTTCGTGTATTTCGTTTTTAGAGAAGAGGCTGTCGAGTTTATGAATTGTGGGAAGGTAAGTACTCTTTCAAAAAGTTTAAAAATACTTTTTAGCGATAATTAGATATGCCGGGTACACTTACTACTTCAACCTACAAGGTTGAACGTACTGCCTTACTGATTGGGAAGAGATGAAATACTTTTATGTAAATCTTATGTTATTGTCTACGTGACTGTAGATTAAAATAAGATAAGGAAAATAATACTAAATCAATAAAGGTTGGCCATTACAGTAGTTATCCGTGTGGTGACGGATTAAGAATACGGAGTGTCACCACCCCGATTCATCCCGTACTTTTCCTTCTCTTTGCAGTGCTGATACGTGTCGTATCAGCACTGCAAAGAGAAGGAAAAGTTGACACAAACCTTATCACAAACTGTCTGGCCAGCGTGGTATAGTAGGTCAAAGACTCCTTCCTAAGGAGAGGCCTATGTCCATTAGTTGAATATTAAAGGCTGGTGATGTGATTACAGTAGTTTCTTAGCTTTGCACTATATTATATTTATATGTAAAGTCAGGTCTCTGTATCAATGTATCACTTAGTGTTTATAATTTCCGTACCATTCTTTTTTATCTTAACTAAGTTGATAGGGGGAAAAAAAAGCAACTAGTCTGAACAACAACGGAACTTATACTTCTATCTATCTTCGACGGCTATCATCAGCAAGGTACTGTGAGGTTTTTTTCAAGTTTTCTTTATCATTCTGCCTACGTGACTGTCTAATGCATTAACAAATTAGTCTTAGGTGATAGTAATGCCTATCTTATCGCCTAAGACAGCCGTCATATTTCTGAGATAACATCACTGTGACAAATTCTAATTTGAGATAATGCTCAACCGTTTAATGTGTATTTTAATGACTGGAGCTAGTTAAAAAGGTTTTAATTTTGTATCTACTTTAAATTACTTTATTTATTTAAAAAAAATACTGTTAAATATCCTTTCTAACTAGGCCTATGTCCAGCAATAGACTATTAAAGGCTGTTGATGATGATGATATCCCATAAAGCACATTAGAATTCAATTCAATAGTTGAAGCTTTTCACATTATCATATAAAGAACATAATAAAAATTAATTGCTGTTCATTAGTCTCACTAAAACGCGAGAAACTCTGGACCGATTTGACTCATTTTGTTTTAAAATATTCGTGAGAGTTAGGGAAAAGTTTAATCGGTTTAAAAAAAAAAAAAAAAAAGAAACTTGATTACCACGTATACATTTAGTCTCTAATAATAACAAATTTTACGTACGTAGTATTTTATAAATATGTAGGTACTGCATCATATAATTCTTTCCATGTGTTAGTCTTTATAGATCAATGAAAGTATTAAAGGATTTAAACCTTTATAGAACCCAAGCTATAATATAAGTTAGTTCGCTAGAATATAAGAAATTAAGTTATCTATGAAAGTATCGCTATACTAGATATGTAAAACATCATAAATCAATACATACGTAAAATAAATGCTGAAAAACTTTAAATCTGTGACTTATATGTTAATTACTCAGTAGTTTTAAACGCTTAACGTTTTTTAATTCATTAAATTAATATAAGTTACCAGCTGTACCCCGCCACGCTACTACTACTATTAAAGCGTACACAAACCAACCCATTATTTATATATATATTAATGTCGCAATGTCTCACTCATCACTAGTTCTTGCCACATCTTGTCTGTAGTTTAATACAATGACACTATATATAGCACCCCATGTTGTTAACAAGAAGATTGAGTCTTATCACATCATTATCGTAATCTAGATCAACGGAAGGATTTCTTCACTGAACACCAATTGCCTTACAGATTTATTTTATGATGTATTGATCTATTATTATTTATTATTAAAATAGATTGCTTAGTAATAGTTCTCTTGGGAATAATATATTTGGGAGGCAAATATAGAGGAGAGAGACTTCTCGGTGAGAAGTTTGACTGTTGTCTTCCGCCAAAAGCCGATTCATAATCATCACTTTACAGAAGACTTAGTCAAACGCTGTACTCTGCATGTGTTTGGTGGCGTTTCTGTTTGTCAGTATTATTCTTAGAGTTCTGCTATTGTCCTTTAAAGAATGGGATGGAAAAATCCAAATCGGTGTAATAAAGTAGGTGATGCGCATTTATATGCACTGTTTCATGATCATTAGACTTCAAATTTGTGTAAAATATTTCTTTAAACACACTATTATAAATTACACGTACTCATTCATTATAAAACTCAGTAGCTTTTGTACAAATAAGTAACAAACAAGCATACGACGAGCTCGTTGGTAAGTCATCAGTTTTTAAGAGGCGATTGTCTGAAGAAGATAAAAAATAATACTTTTTATGGCACAAATCTTTTCACATTCGAGCAATTGGGTTATTTGAAAACCTCTTTGAGTGCTTGAGGTCTGTAGATCACCTTCCACCTTGACAGAATGATTTATATTAGACACATAAACTTCGAAAAGCAAAAGTGTACTTCCAGGAATTAAAATTGGGCACGCAGGTCTGGATCTAATAATGTTTTTTTTTTTAGATTATTTACTCTCGCGTCGCCCGTGTCTGCAAAAACGATCCTGGCGGTTACTTAGTCATGAAAGACAGTTGGAGTACCTTCCTCAAGGCTAGAATCAAATGTTCAGTTCCGGGAGACATACCCTTCCACTACGATGAAATTCAAAGCATGGAGTATCTGCCTCAAGAGAAGCTTTTGATAGCTACGTTCACTACTCCTACGTGAGTTCCTATTTACTATTTTATATCGTTTATCAATATTTGTTGGACATTTAAACGTTATAATAGTTATAAAAAGTAAAATATTTCATTAGCATTAGCTTCTGTACATTTTGATACAAATTTCATGTATTGTATTTTTTATATAAACGCTACTCACGTTTGTGCATAATTAGGAATCCAATATTACCCCAGATAAAAACTTATTAATCGAATGTTTCCATACTTGTTGTAATCTGCATATCAATCCATTTTTTGATTCCTTAAAATATTAAAAGGCAATAAAACATTTTTATGATGAAACTACAATTTTGATATGTTTAAATAGGAATAGTATAGCCGGCAGTGCTGTCTGCATCTACAGCATGTCAGACATCAATGCCGCATTTGAAGGTCCATACAAGGTACAGGACCGACCAACGTCGACATGGGAGCCACGTTCTCTTTCCAAGCAGGCCCGGGATCATTTCAGATGTATTCCTGATTCAAGGTTGGTATAAAGTTAATAAAGTTTTTTATACGTATATAGATTATTCACTTAATTTTGTTTGAGGTTTTTTTTGTAACGGAATACAAAAATGCTCTCTAAATGCTCGGTGGGCAGTAGGTAGGTTTCCCCCATTCATTTAATAACAATCACTTAATCAACTGTGTCGAAATATTATCGTACTCATACACCTACCTCAGGCGGCCTAGTGTAAGTTTATTTTACATCGACTTGATCGTCACGGTAACCGCGTCCGGCGTTGTGATTGGTGAAAAGTTTAGTTCGGGCCACTGACAACGCAGAATGCAGACACGATCGAGTAGAAGTGAAATAAACTTACACTAGGCCCTTAAATAGAATTGACAAACTTATAACACAGTTCGAAATGTGTTTTGTGTGAATACGCGAGCACGTGTGCGGATAGACTAAACTTGAATACATACATACGCACATATGTACTGGTATTTATGCTCAGTCTGTTGAAAAGTTTAAGACGTAATGAAATAATAATAACTTACATCAATTCCATAGACCTATTTCATTTAATTATAATAAAGTTTAATCGCGGAAGAGCCATGCTTCGGGACAGGTATACCACAAAACACAGTAAATTACATTAACATTACATTAACAAAATAAATATAAAATTACATTAACACACTTAATTTCCAGAGCTCATCAAGAAATAGAATATCACAGATATCACTTGATGTACGAATCAGTACAGCCAGTGTCCGGAGAACCAGTTTTTAAAATGACGTCAGAGCGTTTCACCCATGTCACTGTCGATGTTACCAGTGCGAAAAGTATTGAGAAACAACTCGTATTGTATGTGGCTACACAAGCAGGCAATGTTCTAAAGTTAGGAGTATTACCGAAATTAGACGGAGCTTGTTTGGTCGAGAAGTGGCAATTAAATGAGAATAATAAAGCTTTTGATGTGCTGAACATGCAGTTCGTTAAGGATACGGTGAGTTTAATCTTATCGTTCTTCTTACCTTATCAATTTAAAAGTATTAAATGTCTCGATGTATCCATTTTTAATACGATCAAGTTTTAAAACAAGCATGTGTTTTAACTTGACCATTCATTGCTTTACAAAAGCAGCTATGATGTGATTTCTAGGCTGTAAGGAAAAGCATTAAATGGTTTTACTCCTTGACGACCTGGGCTGTCGGACCCGATTATCAGGCTTCTTTGAAACAGTGAATGACAGTACAAAATTGATTTACGCCTTTTTCTCTTGTGTCTGGTTTTAAACCATTTATCCGATCACGACACAGTTTCTGGAATTTGTTTTCATAAATAATCCGTTCTGTTTGACAGATGTCAGTTTACATCGGCAGTACGGACAGCGTGGTCCGTATCTCGGGCGCTCGTTGTTCCCGCTACTCGAGCCGCTCGGGCTGCGTGCTGGCCACCGACCCGCACTGCGGATGGGACGACGCACGCGAACGGTGCGTGCTCGCCACCACGAGACTAGGCGACCCTGCCTTTAAACAAGCTACGCATGTGTGTGGTGTTGTTGATTCACCAGGTACGTCACTTAAAATTGACTGTCCACTCAAAATAGTTTATATTAATCGTCAAAACTTTAGGTTTAATATAAAGTTTGATGAAATAACAACTTATACTATACTCATACGTCACTACTTAAAAGAAGAGAAGAAAAGAGAGAGTAAAAGAGGAGAAAATAGAGATGAACCTAATGTTTGGTCTATAGTATTTTATTTTAATCATTGGCAAGTAAATGTCACTCTTCCATTATAGCCTTGAAGAAAGAGTAATGACAGGCATGTATGGGACTTTTATACCGCCTTGCGTATCTCATGGTCGGATTATTGTTGTATTTATTTGGCTGATAATATCATCGACAGTTTTAATTAATTACCATATTTTTAGAACTATGCTGCAAAAGTTATTTTAGTTTGTAGTTTACGTATAGGGTGTACTGAAGTCGATAAAAATGACAGCTGCTTGTGACAAATGAGATGTCATTGCTGGCAACAGGTTTTTGTAGGTACCGTGATATTAAAATCAAAATATTCATTTATAATGTTTTTGATCCTTTAATAAAATGTTGCCCTGTTAAATCAGTTAAATTATTTTTCTAATCGATTTGAACAATAATTATTAGTCCCTTTTCTTAAATTAATTGCTTTAAAATAATTCATTCATTTAATATAATCCTTTGAGAAAAAAAAACATTCCTTAATTACTAGTTTGTTATTACGAGTATTAACTGCATTAGTGAGCTCATTCATCAATATTGATAAATATATCGTTATTTATGTAATTTTATATTTCATGTATAGCAAGTTTAGAAAACGTAGGAATGCGTTTAAGTGACAACACTTGAACGTTTAATTATTTGTAACTAGCTGAGACCCGCGAAGCTAGTCTAAAAAAGTAGCCTAAGTTACTCCTTATGTCATCAGCTAGTAGCCAGTGAAAGTTCTGTCGAAATCGGTCCAGCCGTTCTAGAGATTACCCGGAACAAACAGACAGACAGACAGTCAAAAATTGTAAAAATTGTTATTTTGGCATATGTACCGAGTAAACATACATATGCATTTAGTAAAAAGCGATTATTTTAATAGGTATTACAAACAGACACTCCAATTCTATTTATTTGTATAGAGTATAGATAATCTGTTTTTACAAGGCTTTAAGTAATTTTAACAATGTTCTAAAAATATGATCATTACCTAAAAATAGATCGGATGATTCACTTTATCCGTGTGGTGACGGATTAAGAATACTGAATGTCACCATCCCTATTCATCCCGTGGGTGTCGTAAGAGGCGACTAAGGGAGAAAGCTACGCCGGAAGCACTGCAAAGAGCAGGAAAACTTGACACAAACCCTATACTAACCCGTCTGACCAGCGTGGTATAGTAGGCCAAAACCTCATTTCTAAGGAGAGGCCTATGTCTAGCAGTGGACTATTAAAAGCTGTTGATGTGATTCACTTTATAAATGGTACAAATCTTATAACTATCCATCATATATAATTAGGTTGTACAAGATCTGCCGTTCTTTTTTCCGTTTACGAACAACTTTCTAGAATAGAAATGTCTAATCGCCTATTTCGTCCAATGTAGTTCCTTCACTATTAAAATTGACTGATAATAGTGACAATTTATTTATGTGACTGGTGGTCCAACTGCAATTAGGCGATTTGTCATAGTTCACAACAAAATTAATTGTGTAAATATTTTATCACTATAGTTGATGGCGGATGGTCAAGTTGGTCAACTTGGGAGCCGTGCATGCAGGACGGCACATCCTTGTCTCTGTACGATGACGATAAACCCGACATGTGCATGTGTCGGACGAGGCGCTGCGATAATCCACGACCGGCTTATGGCGGGCAAACTTGTGAAGGTGAACTTTTTTGTTGTATATAAAAAAAAAAATTAAACTACTGTCTTAGTCATTATCCTAGAGATACCACGCACGACCCTCGTTAGCGAAAGCAACTTTTCAAATGTTTTCTTATGTATTTTTAAAACATTGTAATTAACATGATTACATGATACAGGTTGTCTGGAAGAGATCGCTGTGAGCGATAAGACCGCCTTTTGTTACGTTTACCTATTTGTAACTCATCTTTTGTTTTGTTTTTTTTCTATTAGTGTATACAATAAAGATAAAATAAAAAAAATAAAAAAAATTAACATTAACACATAATTAACGATATCATTCAGATATCGTTAATGCTACGTCATAAAACATATTACGTAATGGCAAGCTCAATGTCTAAGGAGAATTTGTTTTTTAATGTAAAACATCTCACGTTCCTGCAATGGATTGAAGTGTGTTACTGCAAGTCTGACTTTTTCTTATTGTACAAATCAAATATTATTTCACCAATAGCTCACCAATACCAATAGCTCGGTGCTAGAGTCGGCCTTTCTTGGTAGATGCGACTACTGTTAGGATTTCGCGTTTTCTTGTATTGCTTTTGTTTTAAATTTGGTATATTTTTTATTGAACAAACTCATTTTCTTTCTTTCTTTCCTTCTCAACAGGCGCCGCTATATCGGTTACCAACTGCACTGTTCACGGAGGTTGGTCGTCTTGGTCAGGCTGGTCAAAATGCTCAGCATCCTGCGGCATTGCCATAAAGTCCAGGCGTCGAACTTGCAGCGCGCCAGAACCCAAGTTCGGTGGCCGGGTCTGTGTGGGACTCGACAACGATGACGTATATTGTAACTTACCTCCTTGTCCTGGTGAGTTGGCAGTTGGTTTTGTTTTTATTTAAATTTATTGATAAACAGAACCACTCCACTATAAGAGACAAATTGTCTTGAGGATTGGAAAAGGCAATAGTAGCTATTCTCATGCAAAATAGCCCCACGGTTGAGTTGAGTTGCGTAAAATAGGTCTTGAATACTCATGGTGGAATCCTCAATGATCTAGAATTCTAGATATTTGTGCTGTGGAGAGGGGTTAGTTTGAATTTTATCGGTTACAGTGGAATATTACACTATTTTAGTCGTATTACGAGTGGTATCACTTGAATACTGCTCTACACGCATAAAGACCCAAAAAAAAACAATGTCTGAACAAATATTTCTTCCATAGATCCAACCTTGGCAGCTGTTGATGGTGGCTGGACAGAATGGGGTCCTTGGTCAGTGTGCACACCCACGCCTGGTGCCGGTTGCGGCCCTTCTGGTGGTTTGAAGGAGAGGAGACGCGACTGCACCAACCCTCCTCCCAAGAATGGAGGCGCGGAATGCGAAGGATTGAATATGGAGCGGGTGCCCTGTGACCTGCCGACCTGTGAGCAGAGAAAGGCTACCGCTTGGACGCCATGGGTACAAATACCTGGTTAGTGAAAAGTTTATGTTCTATACTTTTGATCAAGGCAATAAAATTGACAAAAGAAAATACGTTAACATTCGTGTATATATATGTAGATATTTAAAAATTCAATAGCAATATGCTGCTAATGCTAAACTATATATCAGTAAATATAGAAAAGAGGCAATAACATAGTGTAGGGTGATAGTGCAGTAAATTATAATAAATTAGCCAAGACAGATTAAATACTTTCTTGTACCGACTATTCGTTTTGCCTTGCACATTGGTCATGTAAATCATCTTAACAGTTAGCCTGATATGGTGTCTCTATGGTAAATTATTGGGTTTTAGTACAGATTAGAGTAATAACATACTTAAATAAAAAAAAGTAAAGTAGATAACGTAAGAAGTGGTTCTATCCAATAAAATAAATTTGCATGTTCTTGTTTTTACAGGAAACGATTCCGACGGTAGTTACACAGAGAAAAGATTTAAGTTCCAATGTCGAGCTCCATCGCCGGAACAGTTGAAGGTACATCATTAAAGATACCACATTTGTTTATTGTATTTAAAATACTTCTGACTACGAATACTTCGTAAACGTTTTGTGATAAGCTTTTGTATAATAAGTGTATATGTATTATAATTCAATAAGTTTATAATTTCTTATTCTAATTGAGAAATGTATTAGTTGACCAAAGTAAAACGTTTATCATACATAAATTCGATCAAAACCAAACCCATAAGCTTTTTATGAAAATATACACCGTTTGTGATGTTTAGTCGTATTATGAAAAATCTATTGCTCTGACAGATATGTAAATCATAATCAACTATTTTTGAATGTTGAGTCTATATGATGGTATAAAAAAATAATATAAATATGCATTTATTACATTCACAAAAATGTTTTGAAAATGAGCTCTCGCCGCGCGCGAAATTTGTTTCTAGTCGAATTTTTACTATATTTTTGCAAGTAAAAAAGCGAATTTCTATAATGTATACATGCATTTTTTTTTCTGTTTAGTAAAGAGTATATTTATAACAACGTAAAATAGTATAAAAACTATACTAAAACTCTAATGTATGTCATCATAAAACAGATTTATTGTCAACAAAGCCGTTTTTTTTACATTACTTCGAAACAAAAGGCCGTTAAAAACTAAATAAACATTCAAATGTTATTGTTTTCATTTAATCTTATTGATCATCTCACTAGCTTTTGAGAACAATAACGAGACTGTACTTACAACATTAACAAAACCTTGAAATACGGTCTCAAGTGCAACGGCGCGCTGATGCGCCAATTACGTTAATGAGCGCGGGACTTAGCGAAAACGCGCTTTTGAGACGCCCGGTACCTCAAAGGTTAAGGAGTACAACTTAAAGAGTGACGAGTGTTACGAGTTCACTCGAAAAGAAGCTCAAACATTAATTATTTGCGTATTTTAATCTCAACACTATTTGAAACTACAAGGAATCGTTCAATTTACATACTTATATTATTAAATGTGAAAGTGAGTTTGCTCGTTACGTATTTACGCCTAAACTACTAAACCGAATAAGAAAAAAACACCAATGGCGAGTAACACAGGTTACACTATACCGCGATAAAGCGAAAACGCAGGCAAAACCTAGTATGTATATAATAGCGAAAAGGAAGTAGACGGTCACTATAATAGGAAAGCGTGGTGTCGGCAGTTGTCCCGTGGTGCGCGAGGACGAGCGCTACTGCACGGCGCGCGGGCGCTGCAGCAGCGAGCGCGCGGACGAGGAGTCGGGCTACGAGGCGTGGGGCCCGTGGCAGGCCTGCTCGGCCGTGTGCGGCGGCGGCCAGCAGCGCCGGCGCCGCCGCTGCCTGCGCCGCGCCTGCCGCGGGCCCGCCGACATGCTGCGCGCCTGCAACACGCACGCCTGCACCGGTACGTCCCTGCACGCCTTCTCCGTATACCGATTCACTATCTCTACTTTAAGATCCTTTTCTTCGCGCCGGATGTGGTCAGCGAATTGTCTTTTCGTTATGCTAACTCTAAACCGGCACTTTAGCTCTTTGTTGTGGGTCACACCCGTCAAGAAGTAGCTTATGAAACACAATTGTACGAATACAAAATAAAAATTCTTGGAGTTTTTTTATGGTAAGCGCTCCTTGGGTTTTACCCTTTTAGGGTTTGTTTCAAGTTATCTTTCTCTACTCTATTCTCTGTCTTTAATATGGACGAGTGTAATCGACTAGCGAGTCATCCGTCAACTTTACAGAATATAACATTACAAGCAAAAATATTAAAATACGAAACCCTTCCCAAAAATTTAACACAATACATCACCCTAACTGTCACCAAAATACCACGTGGTAAAACTACCAAATATTTAGAAGCAACCAAACAACATAATTTAAATAACCACGTAATATATCACTCAGCCTACTAAGATAACCAGACTACTAAAATACATACTTTTAAATTTCTAAATTCATATATTTTGTACACCCCGACACAGAACAAATGATCGTGCTCATCACATATCTTCCTATCCTGAATTCGAATGGAAGCCCACTAGAAGTCGTGGTTTCCATAAGATTTGTACCCAGAATAGCTAAACCACCAGTCGTAGATATTTTGGTTAAGTTTTCCATCCACGATTAATGATATCATGTTGAAAACTACATATAAGGTATTCAAATTACGTAATGATTTAAAATGCTACTTTTCTAGGTGAATGGTCGTGTTGGAGTGAATGGAGTGAATGCAGCGGAGAATGTACTGACGGTATAACGAGTGCAGCCGGACACCGCACCCGCACCCGCATGTGCCTGTCGCCGGACGGCTGCACCGACGCAGGCGCCGCTCTCGAGCGACGCGTGTGTGTTAACAACTGCGCTGGTACGTTATAATCATTCAAATTATTTAAAATGACAAAAGAAAGAGAATAACATTGTTTTTCTTAGTTGTTGATTCTTAGGTTTAGTGTTATCCATAAAAAAGGTGAAGACGCATCGATATGTCAAAAACCACTATGATCTGGTTGAGTAAGATCTTTGCAAATAGAGAGATCGATTAAGGCCATGATTGTCCTTGTGGAGAAACACGTGTTCTCTGCATTCCTCTACGGAAAAATTGCTATTTAAAAAGGATGATCGATGCTTTCGAGATGTGAAGGAGAATGTAGAGAAATAAGGTTCGAAGAGTCATCTCATATGCTTGTTTGGCACCAGAGTATCAATAAGTTGCGCTACCGGCTGCCAGACCAGGTCTGATCCCCTCCGCATTAGACGTCATATTAAAAGTAACTGGTAAAACTGTAACGGTAAACGTGAGTGTATCTAAAACGTATGTTATGTTTTCAGACCCAGAAGCGGGCTGGGGGGAGTGGGGCGAGTGGGCAGCATGCACAGCAGGCGAACGAGTTCGCCGTCGGTCTTGCCAAGCTGGTGCTTGTCTTGGAGCTCAGCTACAAGTCGCTAGATGTGGCGACGGGGGCGATGAACTTGATAATGGTGGGCATTCTTGAAACTGGGAGATTCATGAACAATTTGGTTTTAAAAAATGGTAACATATTTTGTTTTTCTTCAGAACTCTACGCTATGCCAGCTTATAGCCAAAACGTGGAGATGGCGTCTTTTGTTACGATGTCCAACAACGAGTCGTTGAGTTTAGGCACAATCATTGGATGTGTGGTTGGTGCCTTTGTCATGGGTAAGTTTTATAACTGCAATCTTTGACGCTAGATGGCGTTAGTTAAGACACTTTTAATAAAAATCTCATTTTTCTTTTATATGTCCTTAATTAGACATTTATTTTAAAAGTTTGTAATAGATTTCAGTTACTAGAATTAAATGCTAATTAAATACAATAAATTGTTAGACAAAATATTACCCTTTGGTAGAGTTACATTGAAAAGTTGTAAATCGCGATATGAAAGTTTTTATAGTATTTAGTATATAAGCAGATGTTGGCCTCACCTTGATGTGTCTATTGAAAGGAGAGACGGTTAGCACTCCCCTTGACAAGGATGGAACACATAAAATGGTTAAGGCACACTTGACCACATTTTTTAGTCCTTTAGGAATATTAACATTAAATAATATGCCAAATAAATGAAAAATAAATTATTACATATCAATGTTCTTCAATACTTTTTTTTATTATTTTAGCTAAAAGTTTTCACTTTCTTTTATATTTTCCTATTATTGTCTTCATTATTTATTTATTTAGAACGGTTCAAGTTTTATTCGTGTTAGATGCGATTGCCTGTAATTGAACGAGCACAAGGCATGTTTTTGTATATTTTTTACTTATTGTAGACATGTGTGTCATTTGTTGGCGATTCAAAATAAAATAAAAAAACAGTAGTATTGTAAATTGTTATTTGCCAGTCCTTTTTTAAATGAACTACTTAACAATTAGTAACTTAGTGATTGATTACACTTTTAAATAAATCGGTATGTACACGTAAAACATTTTTCTCAATTCATCCAGGCTGCCTTGTTTGCCTGGCTGGAGTGATATTCTGCCAACGGCGTGGCACCCGCCTTCCTTGGAACAGACAGCAACGAGTACCTTCTAGTCCTCACTACATCACAGCGAAGCAAAATAGTTATGTCACTGTGCCACTGAAGGAAGTTGTAAGTATTAAAGAAAGACTTGCCTTTAAATGTACAAAACTTATCACCCGTCTACTTTTTACTTCAAAATATTTTATTTTTTTATTTTTTATGCTCAAGTATGAGTTGTACAATGGCTGACATAATGCCACAGGCATTTTCTCCCAGTCTACCTTAGGGTGGTGCTACAATGTGTGGCTAGGTGCACTAGACATTGATATGTGAAGTAAAAGAAAATTATTGATAAGTTAGACAGAAACAATGCGATAAATATAGTTACATACATACGTGCCAAATACATTAATAATAAAAAAATGTAATGTGATATAAATAAATGACAACAAAGCCTTCATTAATAATAAAAAAATGTAATGTGATAAAAATAAATGAAAAAAGAAAACTCATTTTAACAAAACTATGTAGTACTAAAAATTAAAAATATGCATCAAGACAATTTTTTATGTTTTCATTTAAATGCGCATCGGAACAGTTGTCTAATAAATAATAAAATAATATACTTATTCCAAATCAAAGTAACCAGAGCGTGGTATAGTAGGCCAATATCTATTTTTTAAGGTTTAAGGCGATCTCTTCAGATACGAGCTGTTGCTAGAAAAGTAGGTTAGGTTAAAACTGTGACCCCACAAGAAAAACAAATCTCTATCAGAAACGTGCTGTGACCTGAATAGTATTTAGATTAGGTTATAAAAAAGTTATGAAATAGGGATGCTTCACGAACTCAAATTGTAGCTAAATAATAATATTTTGAGGTAACTATTTTGCTGTAACTATTTTGCTGTGCAATCAGTATTTTAGTGGTTAGGATTTTTTAATATAAAAAAACGAAGTTTTTTTGATTTACAGTAATGTTTTTGCGTATCTTGGATAGCCAATAAGCATTTATTGCTACCTTCTCTTACAGGCTGTATTTATTTGGTAACTATTTTCTAGCTTTGAGTATAAAAAGTTAAATCTAACCTAAGTTAGATGCCTTAATTTAGAAGCTTCAATGCTCATAATCAACGATTTTAAGGAGGTATTTCGTTCATTTATATTAAAATTGTAAAAAATATGTTCTCATAAGGAAACTTGATTTTTTATTTTTTTATTTAAATTAACATAACTTTTTTTTTCAACAGCCACGTAAAGCGAAACGCCAACCATCGTTCTCGGGCATCGGGAGTTCAAGCGGGATACTCCTATCAAAAGCGAACAACATATCAAACGTGAACAACCATAATACTATGGCAACACCTAAACTATACCCGAAAGCCATAGCCAATGAGTATGACTCCCTAGGGACATTGAGGAGACATTCAAACCAGCCAAATAATAAGAACAACTTGGATATCGAAGAGGATAAGTTCTATTGAAGGTACGAAGTACTTCATTAGGAGTATGTCTGTGATGTAATAGACTGGTAGTTCTGTGATGTGTACAGTTTGCTTCGATTTGTAATCTACATTGTTAGATTATGACGTCACGATAGAAAGTATTAAAGCGGTATTGATACCGCAAGTACGATTAATATATTTGACAAGAATGCTAGCTGTGCTCTTGGACAGATGGATTAAGTTATAAGAGAATGTGAGCCATTTTTGTTGCTATCAATCAAATTTTGTTGCACAAGTATCGTGTGTTTTGCAAAGCATTTTATGCGTTTCATGAATTATGCTGCCAATATGTTCGTAACTATTTTATAAGTAAACGACATTCAAATTATTTGAAGATTAAGGATTCCATACTGTGCTTATTTGACCTTAACACATTTATGTCAATGTGCTTCAGAATATTTTAACGGTAATTTATGTATTTATTATATATCTATTTTCATAATTTTTAAGTTATTTACTTCCTTAATGTACGTCGAGCGGTTCAAAAATAACTGGACGTGAGTATGTTGAGCTGTTTTTGAACACTTTGCCACAAAATGAAGGAAAAAGAATGCTGTTCCCTGTATTTCTATTCTGGCTTGCAATCTTCCCTCCAATAGCCTTGAAGGCTTGTTATTTCTAGAGAAATAGTTTTTTTTATTCCTTGACAAGTTTATAAACTTCTTAAAGTTTGTAACAAGATTATCTACGTATGATTTAATAAGTTTCTAAAAACTTATTTTCACTAGGCAACTGCTATTAGACTGCTTTGGAAATATATATATAAAAAAATCTAAATGAATGAAAAATGATGTATGAAGTATTCATCCATAGTTTATTACTTATAATTTCTCATTATTGGCAGGTGCCAATATTTTTTAAATGAATTGACTCGTATTCCATTAACTTACTATATATTTTAAGTCTGATTATGTATTTACGTTATGAATCAATTGAATATAATACATAGTTTAATATTGTGAACGCCAGTAGAAAAGATAAAAGATTTTTATATTTAGTTGTTAAGTGTTGTGATTAAAGTCGGTGGTAGGTAACGAATCCAGTGCCATTGTAAACCTGTAAAAATGTATCCCATTAAATTGTAGTTTTTTTATGAATGTAAGGAGACACGACAAATCCAATGATGTGCCATGTAAATAAGTAGATTTTATTGTACATAATATTATAAATATAATTTGATTTTAAATAAAATTTATTTCGTACAAATAAGGGTGCCTTCACATGATACAGTTTTATATACGTATATAAATATTACAAACATAAATATTTACTTACATTGTTATACACAGATGCTTATTTACAATACATTATTATATATTTTATGTAGAAAAATGAACGTAACTTAGTGTCGAGTAATAATCCATTGACCGATGTATCTGTTGTTATCGATTACTTAACGATTGAACTTCGCGTCAATTGTTCTTCAATAGACGGTCGATATCAGTATTGGTAAAAATAATTGATGATTTCGTCAAACTTTGTTTTGTTGAATGAATTTCGACATATCAAGCGACTCATGTTGAGTCATTTGTGCGGTTATATTTTAAAATTTTATACTTTTGTATCTTATAATCGCGTTTGAGATATATGTTTGGATCTATTTTAATGTTTGCTTGAATTTATGTGTTCGAAAATTAAAATGCCCTGACTTAAATATGATATAACATGTCACTGTAAAGAGTTGAAGTGCATATTCACGGCGATATGTTGTACTATTAAGGTCATAGCTAATTAGACCCATCCGACCAGCAACACCTCGCCTCGAGCTCACTACTCCAAGCCTGGGTCGCCTCACCCGGGTCTCTCTAATGAGCTATGACATTTAACCTATCATTCGAAGTTTGTGCACAAAAGGTTCTTAATTTACGTATAACTATTATCTGTGAAGATTCTTAAAATTCATATCACAATAATATAACGCAACAACTATAAACAGTTTTTGTAACCTTTATACGGTTCAATTGTCTGTAAATATTAAAGCGCCTTTGTAGCGAGCATGATGATCATCCTGGCTATCAAATTATGATGACCTTTAAAAGGTTAAACGAACTCATATCATATTTCGCAAGAGAAAACGGAGATCTCAAAAAAACAAACCAAAATATGTAAAGATTATATTACATATATTGAAGTTCAATGAATTAATTAAAGTTTTTTTATGGTATAAGGGGGCAAACGAGCAGACGGGTCACCTGATGGTAAGCAACTACCACCGCCCGTGGACACCTGCTACTCAAAAGTCACAAGTGCGTTGCTACCCTTGAAGTCCTCCCTCGAGTCAGCGGGAGGGGGAGTTTTGCCAATTCAATTTTGAGCTTGTTTTATTTACACATCACATTTAACAGCAATATTATGTGCAGTTTTTTAGTTTTTCATCTCATCCTCATATGTATATACTAGTTCATATATGCTGTTGCTAATGTGTAAACAAATAAATGACCGTTAAACGTATTACATAGGTATAGGTTTACTTGTACTTACAAACCTTTAACAGTACGGTAGAATTTACAAGTATCCCATATAGGTACTCATCTACACTAATTACAACTTAATTGTGATACAATTTGTTACAGTCTTACAGCTAAAAAATGTTATATCTAATTATATTTCAGGGTGTTTTATATTGTAAAATGGGCATTTTTTTAAAGGCCAATTGGTTATATATTGTGATATTACAGTTTTAAAAGGTCCTTTTAAAGTCTAATTTATGTCGGGTAAATGTCACTTAACAATAGAACAGATAATTTAACAGTGAAAAATATTTTATTTCAACAGGCTTTTAAATAGTACTCACCAACACAAAACAAATGTGTGTAAACATCTAGTTTAATCACATTTGTTTTGTGTGTTGGGTTTGTCTTGTTTAGTTAGGAAGTTCCTATGGCCGTCTTCCGGCTCCATCATCAGAACAGCTCCATAGTACCACATTATTGTATTGTCACTGAAAATACACATGCACACCAAATTTGAGCCCAATCGGACTGACTGACTGATTGGTGCCGAACACATACATACACATATTGTAAGTTCAATAAAAGCTTGTAAACACTTAAAAATAGGTGACATTTATTTTAAAACTGAACTTTCACAGGACCTAGACTGTAAGGAGTAAATGTGTGTATTCGTTTTAAGTGATGGATCTTTATATATTTCAGTAATTGTAAGAGGCTTTTATCTCAACAACTCACCGATACAGTGTTAAGAGATTATTAAATTCTTGATGACTATAATTCACGATGCCTTAGTCGTTTCTATTCTTAAATTTATAAAATGTTTATATATAATGCTGTACATTGTTATTATGCTAAATAATATAACATTAAAGACTGTCGAATATTGAAAGTAAGTTTTATTTTTAATTTCCTTATATGAGATGGTATCAAAGTCTCATACCTATACCTCTATTCCATTTTGTTCTATCTGTTAGAACAAAATGGAATAGAGGTATAGGTATGAGCGTTGAATACTTGCTCGTTGTTCGCTCTTGCTTGAGCGTTGAATCATGTGCTCATGTGCTGCAAAGAATGTTATTACTAAAATATTATTATCGTGAACAATAGATATAAGATGTAATCGATATTAATCTATATGTTTTATTTTATAATTACACACACTTGCAGTCTACTCGTATAACGACGTCAAATCATATAAAATGCCTGCAGTTCTCAATGTAATTAAATGTTTTTTTTTTATTAATTCTAGTTTGATTTTTTAGGGTGTTAATACCCGTCAAGAAGTTGATTAGTCTAGTTGATATTCGAAATGAAAAACAAACTCGTGTCTGAAATTGAAACTTCCTTAGCGGAGGTTTCAGATTAGAGCCGACTAAATCTAGTCCACCTAGACAAAGGTATGTGCGTTCTCCGCAATGAAGATAACATTTGTCGTATCACCTCGGTTTGAGAGCACCTCCCTAACTGCGTCAGCCAGTATCGGAATCTTAGGCATCGACATATCAAGCGAAGTCCAGTTTCGGAGTCACTTTGAGGGTAAGGTCAAGGAAAGGCCTTCAAGAAAAGAGCGTATACCCTTCCGAATAGGACGGGCTATTTAAAAAAAAGGATTGAGTGAGTCTGCAGGAGGAAGTTCGCCGCCTCTACTGTGCGGAAATACGATCATTGCATTGCTCAACAAAGCGTTGTCGGTTGTAAATAGGTCAGGAGGTCGCGCAACAACCGACTGACGCAGGTTCTTACTGGCAATGTTTGCTTCGGTGAGTACCTGAATGGGATTGGAGGTGACAAGACGGCACGATGCCAGCACTGCGCAGCCGACTGGGATTCCGCCCAGCCCCGCGTGGGAGTCTGAACGCGAGGTCCTGGTCCACCAAATCGGACTAAACCTGTCCCTCATAATTACTGCCGTGATGGCGGCTTTAGAAAAAGACCACTGCATGGGATCGAGAGAGGGCCGATCCCGAGTCTAGAGGACGTTGGTGGCGATACCAGCCGTCGACGTGGCCGCAGGCTTCCAGAGAGTGAGGTGCTACCACATTATTTCCTGCGGTAGACGATAGGATGACGGTCTGAAGACCAATTCTGCAAACCTCCCTCCGCAACACTAACATCTTTACGTATGCAGATGATACGGCAATTTTTGTCTGGGGACCTGACTGGAACACCGTTAAGGAAAGAGCTGAGTATTCTTTATCCAAAATTATGAACTGGCTTACAGGCAACTTGCTGACGTTAAACCTCTCCAAAACATATTATGTTGCCTTCTCGATCAGAAAAACTAACTCCCCACCACAAAACTTCTCAATCACTGCCCATACTTGCCTTTCCCAGAATGCCTGCACATGTCAACAAATCGATCGAGCTGAACATGTTAAGTACCTGGGAGTGTATATTGATAGTGGACTGAGGTGGGACAAGCAGATACACACAGTCACCTCCAGAGTGAGGAGACAAATAGGTACACATATTCAAATCACTAAGAGACTGTGTTCCACTAGCAAAACTAAAACTTATCTACTTAGC